ACCTGGGAAGTTCTAAGAGTTGCTCCTACAGTTCTCTTCCCTCCTCACTTTTTCCCGCCCTTATTTACTGAGGTAGTATTGCCATATGATTTTAAGGAAGACATATCTTTAAGAAAGGAAGGCATTAGCCAGGCATGGTGGTGCATGCCTGTAATGCCAAAGGCTTGGGAGGCTGAATCACAAGTTTGAGGCCAGCCGCAGTAACTTAGTGAGGCTCTAAGCAACTTAGCAAGACCCCGTCTCTAAATAAAATATAAAAGGGAGGCATTACATTGCCTGGCAACAGGCCCAAGTATGCATCTTTGCTCTCCCACTTACAAGCAGTGTCCTACACAGTCCACAGTTTCAGAGTGCTATTTTCCTCCCAACCACTTTCCAGCTGAATGACCTCATGTAAGTATCTACTTTTATGTGCCTTACATATGTTCCCTCATTTGTAAAAAATAATAATACTTCATTTAGTTTTCTAAGGGTTAAAGGAAGCTGGCCACAGTGGCATACTCCCAGATACTCAGGAGGCTTACAGGTTTGAAGGAGGTTTGCAGATTTGAGGCCAGCCTCAGTACCACAGCAATACACTGTCTCAAAATAAAAAGGACTGGGTAGGTGTCTCAAAGGTAGAACACCCCTGGGTTCAATCTCCAGTACCAACAAAATAATAAAGGAGCTAGTTGGTACTCTCTTTGGAAGTAATGGGCCCATAGTAAATGCTTAATAAATGCAATTGTTTTTAAATAACATCTAAAGTGCAAGAACCTAAGAAAAAGGCATGTCCTATAAATGGCTGTACTCACTACTTTGGAAGTTAGTGAAAAAATATTTAATTGTTCAAGCTAAATACATGGAGTTATAATTTTTAAGTTTCAGATGTTCATAATACCTTTATTTTGTTTATTTTTTTAAACTTTTTAATGTGGTGCTTTTAAAATGGAACCCAGTGCCCCATGTGTGCTAGGCTCTACCACTGAGGCACAACCCTAGCCCCCATCGAGTTATAATTTTTAAATATTTTATTGAAGTATATATAGCAAGGTGCAGACATTTTAAGCATAAAATTAATTATATTTAATCCTGTTTTTAGGCGATTTAAAAAGTTAGACACTTTCTCTAATGAGTCTGTCTATTAAAAGAAAGGATATTAATTTATCTAATTAAAAGGTAGTTTTATTCACACAAAGCAAAAATGAGTGCTACATTAAATTCACACAGCTTTTGGTCAACAAACAGTGTGCGTTTTGTTCACGTAATTACCCCATCCTCACTCACCCGTGTTCTAAAGATCCCTGTCACCAGACATTGGCAGTCGCTGCAAAGCAGAGTGACACTTTCCTACGTGTCTGTGAGTTTGATCTCTTCAGGCCCCTCTTTTGGAATCTTGAATTTTTTGTTTTTCATTGATTACCTCTTATAGGAAGTTCAACGGTTTTTGTTTTTGTTTTTTGTTTTTTGTTTTTTGTTTTTGAAGGAGCTTACAGACAGATGTTTTGCATCTGAGTGAAGCACAAACACCAACATCTCCTGAGTTTGAAAATCCTTTATTCTGGAAGCTTGGGCTGAATCCACACATTGCAGCAAATGACAATTCCTCTTAGCAACTCCTCCACCTAGCAATTGACGTGTTTATTTTGACAATCATTGTAAAGCTCATCCTGATTGCCAAAACAATTCAAATGTGAACAGCAAGTGTCTTAGGATGGAGGAAATGTAATTTTAGTTCTTTTTAGCATTCATTTCACCAAAAACAAGATAGGTTGGCTGTGTGCAAAAGAACTGGGTGCTGTAATCCTAACTCTATTTGGCTTCCTATTCTGGGAGCTAAACTGTAACAGGGATCAGAGATGTGAAGTGAGAAGTCTTGATATTTCTCCAATCCCAATATTGCTTCAAGACAACTTATCTTCTAGATTGATAATCATTATTTTTGAAATGCCCACTCTGCACTAAGCACTGTGCAAGGCACGTTATCTCTTTTAGTCTTTATAAAAATCCTATAAAATTTATTGTTATATCCATTTTTATATAAAAAGACAAACTCAGGGCTAGGGGTAGAGCTCAGTTGGTAGAGTGTTTGCCTCCCATGCCTTGCACAAGGCCCTGGTTCAATCCCCAGCAGCACAAAAACAAACAAACAAACAAACAACAAAAAACACCTCAGCGATAATTGTTCCATCTAAATCATCTGTGTAGAAGATTGTGAATTTGAACCCAAGCTTGTCAGACTCCAACACTGAGGCTCTTTGAAGTATGCACAAACTATGCATAGTTCGCAAACTATGCACTTCTGATTGTGCGTCTCCAGTATATTTGGTGTATCCAGAACACAAAGAATGACTCCAAGGATCTACTGGGGGCCTGAGGGGTGTCTGTCTCTCTCACACACATAAAGTTCATAAGGGAATTTCCTGTCGCTGAAGTTGTGTAAAGCATAAACCCTTCACTGGTGTACACTACTGAGGGAAAGGTCATATTAGTGAAAAGTATGAATTTCAAACTCATTTTATGTAAAATAGATTTTTCTGATACCTTATCAGGGGTTTCAAAATGGACTCCCACCCACTCTCCTTTCAGGCTCATAACCACCCATCTAAGGAGGCAGAGCTGGTAATATCAATCTAATTGTACAGGTAAAAAAAAAAAAAATAAGGGCTGAAAAGTTAAGTGCTTGCCTATGGTCACAGAGCTTTTTAGTGACAAATCCATACTTCCCTACACTGCAGGGTGACCTAACAAATTCCTTCTGAATTACCAGATAATTATTGGATAAGAATAATATGCATTCTTATATTAATTATTCATATATAAGGGATTGCCTGAAGTGCTCCAAGATGTAGTTCAAGCATTTCCCTTTATAATCTCATTTACATTACTCTTGTGCACCACTTAGCTAGACAGGGTTTGCTAAATGAAGGAAAATTTCTGCCCAGATCCCAATCAAGTTATTATAAATTCCAAATTAATAGGATCTAAGTAAATAAGAGCTTATTATAGAGCTAAAAGCTGATAATGTTATTTGTTTCTGATATCTTTTTTCATTTGCTTCAGCTCCAGTTAGAGCATTTTATCTGCTAGATTCTTTTTTTTTTTTTCCTGGTTCTCATTACAGAAACAGGGCAAGAGAGACATACAAGGAAATACTTGTATGTGAACAAAATTAATAACCAGAAATTATAGAAAGGAGTAGAGAGGCATCTTTTTGGTAATTTATCATAATGTTTAGTAAAAGCGATTTACAGTAATAAAATAACTAATCTCTACTTCTGGGTATGTGTTCTATTTATCGGGTTCTGCTTTACTTACATTTTTTTTATTACTCCATTTGTTAAATTATTTAAACTTACAAGGCAACCTCTAACTTATTAATGGTAAGGCAGGCTTCTGAAATGGGAGTCATGAAAATAATCATTTCATTTTTTAATCCATATTTTTAAGGGACCAAGATACCTCAAATGAGATATCCCTGGGGCTTATAGGGACTACAAAGCTTGAACCCCTCATCGGGTAAGGCAGCTTGAACTCTTAGGACAGTGAGGCCTCTCTAAAACAAACTTTATGTAAAAATCATCTGGGTGAAAACGTGTGTCTCCTGGCGGTGGGTTTCCTCGTGCCTTTTTAAAGCGTCCTAAGGGATGGAGATGGAGTGAGAGACAGATGATAGCATGAAAGACCCTGTACCTCTTAGAGATCTTTCCTCCATGATTAAAAAATAATGCATTTTTTTTTTTCTGTTTGCCAGGTGCAAGGAATAAACACTCTTGGATTCCCTCTGTTCTGCCGTCCTCCCTCTAATCTACAAACGCGCCACAAAGACGGCTCTGTGCCTGCCTCCCTCGCTGGCATTTCTCATTCAGACGTCCTTCCTGTCTGGGGCTCTGTTTCGTACTTCCATTTGGTTCTTTGCTTTCCTGCACGGGCTTCTAAGTGTGTTTGTTTTCAGGTCTCGCATTTTTTTTTTCCTGTCGGTGAATCGCTTCTTTCTGCAGGACAAGCTGCGCCCCTCTCCTTTTGCATGTCGCTCCCTGTCTATTATGGACCTGGTGTTATTCACCATCGTTTCTATTTATTCCCCTCCTCCTGGCTCTGATTTCTTTATCTCTGGCCCCTCGTTTCCTCTCCTCGATTCTCCTGTTCCCATCTCGATGCCCTTTGACCAGACATCCTCTCCCAGCCCTGCGCGACCCACCGAAGAAACGCTCCCCGGAGCGCGGAATGGACAGAACAGGACGGAAGGCAGCGCCGTGCGCGCGGGAAGGGCGTTTCGTCACGCTAACGACTTCCCCATCCTCCGAGCCTCCGGCGGCCGAGTCCCAGCGAGCCCAGGAAGCCACACAAAGGGAAGGCAAGAGGGGGAGATAAAGGTGAGGGCCCCGCGACAGTGACATCGAGGCTGATCCTTACATACCACCTCGTCTGCGTTTGTCCCGGGAACTCGACACGACAGTCTCGGATTTAAAGCGTGGAGCAACCCAGATCAGCGTCTCTGCAGCCTGGGGTCCACACCCCTGAATCAAAAACTGAAGGGAAGGGTAACCAGAATCTTTTCACTTGACCTTACAACCACACTCTGCAAGTCCACGCCCCCCCCCCACACACACACACCGCGCCGGAGGGTGCCCATGCTGTCCCAACAAGCACCCTGCTTCTCAAGAAGTGGCTTTGACCCCCCACTCCACCCTTGACATTTTGCATTTTTAGAACATTTCCAGATATGTTGATAAATAAATCACACTTCTTAGGAACACCTCGCTGGCTGCCACTCCATGGTACTGCAGAGGAGAGATCTGAGGCAGTGAACACAGTGGGCCTTTTGCTTCTCTCATGTTGCAGCGAAAATAAAAGCAGCAATAATAAGTAATTAAAAGTCACAGGAACAAGGAGCTCTCACAAAACGATTTTTTTTTTGCCAGTCCTGTCATCTGAAGAGGACCGAATGTACAAAGAAGGATCAGGCCTTTCTGCCTTCTACTGACCACACCCGCGGGCCCCCCCCCCCCCCCCCCCCCGCATGGGTCAGGCAGTTTCTGAAGCATCTCTTGAAGTTACTGTTTTGGGGGCAAGGTTTCCTGTCACTTGAAGTGCTGCTGAGGAAGAATGATGGCATGGCTGACTCCATTTTTCCTTTTTCAGGCAGGTGTGGGTTTGTTGATTTTGAAACTGAGTCGCAGGGAACACGCCTAGCAGTTCTAATTTTTCACCACAACAAGCCAGCTCTGCTCACACCGTGTTTTGACAAAGGAGTAGTCTCTTTTTGGAGGGTGAGGTAAACAAGAGAAATGACCCCAGTTTGCAACTCTGCTTTCTAGGCTCCTGGGTGACGTCAGTGCCCTCCCCTCACACCCTGGCCTGTTCTTCAGACAAAGGGGAGCAGGACCTGCTCAGTGGAGGACAATAAAGACTCAGGCCTTTGTCTTCCCCGCACAGGCTGAGGTTGGGACCAGGCAGGGTGCTCCGCAGGCAGCCACAAACCCTTCCTAGCAGGGCAACTTCTGGGCCTTCAGTCTGCCCTCTCCCGGATGCCATCATGTCCTCAGGTCATCAGATCACATGGGATTTTGATTCAGGGGCCTCTCCTTTACAACCTCTGCAGGTTTTTTGTTTTTATTTCTTGGCTTCATAAAGATAAAAGAATGAGTTAAGCACTGCCTCTCTTTCATAGCACACACACATGCACGCGCACACACAGGGAAATGAATTAGGTCCTTACAAATATACACACAAAGATTATGCACTGGGGTTGTAGTTAATGCTCATTTTTTCCTTCTAAGGAGTTTTAAGACAAAATTTTAAAGGAAATAAGAAACAAAACTTAAAAATAAGAACAACAAAATCCCAGGACCAGAAGCAGTCTAGTTACGGGTGGTCTTGAGTTTTCCAGATTCTGTTTGTTTGGAGGCCTCTTGCCCCTCGTTCCTGTCCCAACCTGGTCTGTGCACTCAGAGCTTTTACCCACTTTGAGGATCCTCTTTACCATCTTTGTCTCCCTTTGGCAGCAGTTTGGGGTTGGGCAAATACATTCAGGGTGTTAGCTTCTGCACAGACCTGTGCAATGGTCCAATTTAGGACAGTGACCTCCCCATCTCCCTCAGCAGAGCTCTGGGTGTCTCCTCTCTTCTCTGCCACAGAGAGAGGGGTTCCACAGGAAGGGAACTACCCACAGGGTGAGTGTTCTTAGAAAAACTGCCACAATGGAGAAGCTATGAACTCCTGCTACTTTTCTCTCCTCCCTATAAGTCCATCTCTGTATGCAGATTTCCCTTTTCCTAAGCAAGCCAGTCACACTGGAACAGCTCCCACCCTAATGACTCATTTTAACTTGGTTAAATCTGTAAAGACCCTATTTCCAAATAAGGTCACATCTAAGGTACGGGAGTTAGGACATCATAGTATCATTTTTGGCTGGGGAGGGAGGAGTGGGGGACACAATTTAGCTAATAACAGTAGGCTACCTTGTCATTTAAATGTTTCCCCAACTTACAAGAAATACCATTCTCTCTTGTTTTGAAGGTCAGCACGTGGAATGTTCTGAAACTAGAGAAATAATGAGATGCCAACAAAGGCAAAGGACGACTGCTTGATGGAATAAATCGTGGCCTGGATTTTAGGAATGTCTGCTTAGCCACTTCCCCTTGTTCATGCCTTCCCAAGTCTCTTCTTCCTGCTTCCCTGAACAAAGCGGGAATCTGATTTGTACTTCAAACTGAGGCTTCTCGAAAGCACTGGGACAAGCAGAGCCTACCTTTTCTTATGGAAACAGTGTCTTTCACCCATAGAAATAAGCTTACCACCCACCACACACCACACCCCATCCCTGCTTTTTTTGTGTGTGTGTGTGCTGAGGATGAAATTTAGGACCTTGCATATGCTAGGCAAGTATTCTACCACTAACTACACCCCATACCCTCATTATTGAAGGGGGGTAGGTGGGGAGTAGATTCTGGAATATATGTCAACATAGATCATATTGGTCGCCCAAGAGCAATTCACACCCATTATTATACAGTCATGATGTAAGACTTGAAGTGATTTTGAAGTGTTTTTGACATCCTGAGAAGTAACTGAAAAGAGTAATCGTTGGAACTGGGTTGTCACAGCATTTTCTAAATAATATCAGATCATATTAGGGTTAATGAACATCTTGGCTTCTCCCGATTTTCTTCATAACAAACCCACAACACAAGCCTACTCTCCAGGGCTTACACATGGGTTAATCACCTTTCATTCCATAGCACTCCTGCCCACACCAGATTCTCAAAGCAGCCTCTTGGTTAGGGGGGAAAAGATATGAGGAACGGATGAGAAAAGCAAGGAGGATCAAAGAGTGGAGGAACCCCACAGGTGGCCTCTGAGAACACAGGACCTGAGTCTCCAGCCCATGCCCTTGTAGTTCAGCTGGCTGCCAGGTCCTGGTACAAATCCTTGGAGAACTAAAACATGTTGATTTCATTTACAGGTTAAGCTAGTTTTCAGTGTCTTGTTTGAACATTCTGTTTTGGGATTTTTGTTTCCAGTTTTTCTTGTTGGGTAAGACTAGGTAAGTTGGATCGAAGGTGAGATTTCTCACCTACCCCACTCTGACTACAAAGGCTTCCTGCAGGTAGAATTTAAAATGGAAATAGGTGAGAGTAAGCTTAGAAGAGCCAGGTAAGAGATGGAGCCAAATCTTTGCTTTGGCATAGAGCAGATAGGAGGCTCCATGTAAAAGGCAGTGGGAGGGCTGGGCAGTCTCTTTTTTCACTTTTTCCTCCAGTTGCAAAACATTGTTTTTCTTTCTGATAATCTACTACCTCTGCCAAAATTAAACAATGCGAGAAAGTATTGTTTATTCTGCAATCTCAACACTACACCTCTGTCTAGGGAACAGCCGTGCAGACAGTTCAGGTCTATCCTTCCAGGCTTTTAAATAAAAACACTCTACTGGTCCACATCTATATCTATATATAAATGGAGCCATTAACATAATGGAATGTCATAACATTGTGATCATCCTGTACCAGCTCTTTCTCTTATGTTGTAGATATTTTTTCATGTCAAACCATGAAGAAGTAATGTAATCCTTTTTTTAAAAAAAAAATGTGTTTTAACATATAACAATTCTTGTTCATAATGAAACCATACAAAAAGGTAAACAGTGAATAGCAAAAGTCTTCTTTTCACCCCTGAGTTCTGATCCTTTTCCCCAAAGGGAACCAGTATAGCCACTGCAACAGCTCCATTGCATCCTTCCAGAAAGCATGCTATTAATGCCTCCATATGAACACATGGATAACTTTTATTCTGCTCTGCATCTTGTTCTAAGTAATACATCTTGAGTGGTTTTTGTTTGTTTTTGTTTTTATTTTTTGGTACTGGAGATCAAACCCAGGGGCACTTTACCACTCACTAAGCTACATCCCCAGCCCTTTTAATTTTTTAGTTTGAGATGGGGTGTCTCACTAAGTTGCTTAGGGCCTCAACCCAATTGTTGAGGCTGGTTTTGAACTTGCATTTCTCCTGTCTCAGCCTCCTGAGTCACTAGGATTACAGGCGTGTGTCACTGAGCCCAGCCAAAAAGCTGTATTGCAGGTTGATTAGCTAGCTGTGAAATTACGGAGCTGGATTATAATCACCCCGAGATAATAACTACCTTTGCCTTTGCAACCCATTTGATATGAAAGTGGTTCCTTTATGTGAAAAGGTAAAAGTTCTCAATAAGGAAAGAAAAACATCATGTGCTATGGTTGCTAAGATATACAGTAAATGATTGGTGTTAATTTCTTACTGTGCCTTATTTATAAATTAAACCTTATCATAAATTAAACCTCATCATGGGTATTTATATTCAGGGGAAAACAATACATACGGGGTTTGGTATTGTCTGCAACTTCAGGCATCCACTGGGAGTCTTAGACAGTATTCTCCATGGATAAGGGGAGACTACTATAAATCATATGAATTTTTTTTTAAGAAATAAAGAGTAGGGAAAAAGAACAGCTTGTTTTCCAGTGTCCCTTGCCATCTTTAGGGAGACCATGAAAATACTAAGGAAATTGTTCTTTTCTATTTAACACCCAATGCTCATAAGCAATTCTCTTATATCCTATTCTAAGTACATATAAGTAAAAGTAATAAAGTCTGTATATTTGAAATGACAGACTTTCGCTCAATCTGACGGATTCCTCCTCAGCCCAAATTACTGCACTTTTCTTACAATACTTAAAAACAAACCCATTACAGAATCAGTGACATCATGACAATCAGAACCACATTCCTTTTCTCCCTCAGACATTTTCCTACTGGATGACTGGCTGCTTTGTTTAAATATGGAATTCACTGATCATAAAGTGGATTTCATCCAGACGCAAAATATGAAAAAATGAACTCATGGGAAATGACCCTTGAAATTCATACCACCCCTAAGGCTTGGAAGGATTTTCTATCTCATCAACTGTAGATGAGCCATAACAGTAGAACATAAAATACCACACAAAGATTCAAAAATCAGAAGAAGCATACCTCACGGTTCCTCCCAAGTCTTGTTTTCTTAACGTAACTCATTCTCAGAATTCAAAGCCAGTTTGGCAGTCCCTCCCCAGGAGTTGCACTCCTTCTCTTAAGCCCAGGCCTCCCTCTGGGCTTGTGGGACACTCTGTGTGACTCCTCTGATCTCCTACTCTGCAATTTTGAAATTATATTGGATGTGCCTTCTCCCCAACCTGACCCATAGCTCTGCAAGTTAAGGGCCACATCTTGTTCATCTTTGTGTACCTGCTGGCTCGCGCAATACCGGGCACTTAATGGGGTCTCGGTAATTACCTATTTAGTTGTGTTACTGTTTGTTGAGTTAATATTTTGGACTACATGGAGGCTCATTTGATCCCCATATTTGCTCACCTGTGGCAAACATGGCCTACTGACTGCCTAAGAGACATCATTGGCCTTGCCGCTTTACCCTCGTTGACTTTATTTGAAGGCCACATGCTCAGGAAGTGACTCCCTTGACATGCTGAGATGGTGACATGACAGGTGATTGGTCCAGGCAGTCTTCCTGGCTGTGGTCCAATCCCAGTCAATGGGGTTTGAGGATAGGTCATCTGGGGAGCTTAGGCAAAAGGCTTTTTTTTTTTTTTTTTTTTTTACAGGAGAGAGAGAAAGAGAGAGAGAGAGACACTCATGAGGGGAGGGTCCCTCTTTTCACTGGACACTGCTGTCTTTCATGGAACATCTGGAACTACTGCACACATCTCACAACATGAAGGGGGACATCCCTGACTGAAGAGAAAACCTTGGATGGTCCAATTGGTCTGGAGCCACTTCGCCTGCGGACCCTCAGTTCACAGATAGTAAACCCACCCCACTTTGCAACACCACTCTTAATAAAGATGGGGAGGAATAAGAGTGGAATCAAGAGTCCTCTCCCAAAATGTTAGAAGAAATCAGAGGTTTTATCTAATGATAGAGAAAAGTCTATGGATGAACTTGATTGCTACTTTCAAGTTTGAGGAGGTTTTTGCAGATGGGATGTCAACTAGTGATTCTCTATGACTTCTGAAGACCTAAGTGAAAAATGGAATTAAATAAAGCGGGAAAGACTGGGGCTGAATTTAAAGGAAACTTGCCTGTAGGAATGAGAATGCAATAGGAGCTACTGAGGGTGAGAATCTGCCCCTTCAGAAAAGGACAAGAATGGGCAACATGAGTCTTTAAGAGTTCATTCCTCACTTACCTAAAAATAATGGAAATAAACAGATAATTATCTGAAGTTTGTGATTTTATGCTAATCTGGAGAGAAGTTGCTGGAATGTCAATAGATGGAGAATCAACTACAGACCTCCACAAGTGTCATTAGGCTAGAAGTTTGATTTGACACAGCTGAAATGCCTGTTTCCGCTCTATGAGGCCAAAGTGTCAGCCTGACATCCAGTTCATAATGTACTTTGAACACATACCACTTTATCAGAGCTTTGTGATTAGTCACATGCCTTGAACAAGGACATTGCATGAGAAATGTGGCCTCAGGGATGGTGGCTGATTATTTCCGGGTTGCTTATTAGTAAAGCTGATGCTAATCTGAATCCACTTTTCCATGGAAGAGTGCAAAAATGAGTACTGGATTTGGTCAGTACCTCCGACTATATCAAAACTCTAAAATACACATAGTATGTAGGTCACCAGGAAGTGAGGTGTGGAGTACCTCTGCTTGAGGCCACCAGTTCCTGGGTCTATGTCCTGGACCAAAGGAGGTATTCAAACAAATGGTATTGTGGGTTGATTTACTAGCTGTGAAATTATGGAGCTAGACCATAATTAACTTGAGACAACAACCACCTCTCCTCTTAAACCAATTTTATATGAAAGCTATTATTACTAGTCTTTTGCATTACTCCAGAAGCTAATGTAAATCCAATAAAGTCATGATAAATTCTTTTGCAAGGTTTCTTCTTGTTGATTTGAATAGGCACACATCACTTCATTTACTGAGATTACCACTGGGGCACCCCTGTTTCTTCTAAAATGTATAGGACAGATCTTAAGATGAAGATGCTGGGTCTTGAAAACCAGCATTCTTTCACAAACCACCAATCGGGTCATATCAGGCTTTTACTAAAGCAGCATGAACTGATAGAGGCTGGCGGCAGGGGTGCCCTCGACACTCCTCCTCTTCATGAATTCTCCAACTCCCCTCCTGCTTTCAACTTGGTTAGTTGAGAATCTCTTCCTGACTCTCCCCATCCTCCATAGCACCGGAGTGCGGACTCCTTACTCCAACCTCACAGGGCGCAGCAGAAATGCCTCCGGGTTTCCAAAGACCTTGTTGAGGAGCGGCCAGGCCTCCGGAGGTGCAAGCCTTGCCCCTGCCCACCTGAGGATGAGGGTGTCTGCAGCCTGGGACTCTGAAATCCAGTTGGTGCCCACTAGGCTGTGCTGCTTGGGTCCTCTCTCTTTACCTTCAGCTAGTGGGGTCAAAGCACGGAATAATCCTTTAACTAGATGCTTGCAACTCACATCTTGGTTGCAAGGCAACCAGTCCCTGGTACAAAGTCCACTCTGCCACGGGAGAACAGTGAGTCTGTGGGCAAGATACTTCACCTCGTAGAGCCTAGGATTCCTATAAAATGAGAGTAAAAATACCTACTTCCAACAGTGTTAAAACGAGTAAGTAGACTTTAGACATTTTAAAAAGGCATTTATAAACCGAACGCGGTGGTTCATGCCTGTAATCCCAGCAGCTTGAGGCAGGTAGATCGAGAGTTCAAAGCCAGCCTCAGCAAAAATGTGGTGCTAAGCAACTCAGCGAGACGCTGTCTCTAAATAAAATACAAAACAATGTTGATGATAGTGGTCGAGTACCCCTGAATTCAATCCCCGGTACCCCCCCCCCCAAAAGGTATTTATATGTTAGTGTCAAATGAGAAACAAATATCCCCCCTCCCTCCCCTCCATACTGGGAATTGACCAAGGGGCGCTTTACCATTGAGCTACATCCCCAGCCATTTTTATTTTTTGAGACACAGCCTTGAGATGGGCTGACCTCAAATTTCTCAGCCTCTGGAATAGTGAAAATTACAGGCCAATCATACTGGGGGCAAATATCTCTTCTTACAGCAACACCTCCTTCATTTCTTTTCAGGACCTGGCAAGACAACTGCAGAGCTCAAGGTCTTCATCCTGGAGTTCAGGAGAAAACCAACTTCCCTTTCTTACAGCAACCATGTGAGTAGCACAAGCCTCCCCAGACCGGGGAAGGCTAATGGGCTAAGATCTAGATGGAAAGTGCTGTGTGCAAACTCTCACCAAGTTGCAATTGCCCTGATCCTGGAGCAAGTGTTCTTTTGTCCAGCCACTCTGAAAAAGAAGGTACAACAGGTGAGATGTTAAATAGCAAGGTGTTAAATAAACACACCCTATCCCCAGGCACAGCTTGCTTCTCCTCAATGTTGGGAGCCTGGAACAGGAAAGAAACCTCTACAGTACTCCAGTTCAACTGGTTAAGTTTCTGGGTTTCCAACAAGATTCTGTCCTGTTACTACTGAGTTCATTAAGGCCACTAACTAGAGGAATCGTGGGTGTGCCTGGGGCAAAATCTGCCACCTCCCTTTCTCTGCCTGGAAAATGGAGATTATAATCTCACCTATTTCATTCAGTTCTG